TAATAAGATCTTAATTTTGTTGAAAGGACACGCTTGCATTTCAGAGAACAATAAGGACACAATCGTTAAGTCTCAGATTATCTTTAAGGAGTGGCCTGGGATCAGCTAGGTAGCCGCGTCTTGACCAATGGTCAGCGCGTGTGTTTGTCCTCAGAGGATTTCTGAAGCACGCGCCGCTCGTCCTTACTGGTCAAGCAGTCAAACAGGTTTGCCGAAAGGTGTTAAGTGGTCATTTATGGTGGTCATCCTTTGGGCGCGTGGCAGGACCCTTAAAACATATTGAGATGGTCAACAAGTCGGGCTAATGTCGCCATTTTGTGCGGGGTCCAGATGCGAATGCTCGGCTATAATTTATAACGGTTATTTAGATATTATCCTTTGAAGATGAAAAGAAAAAAACTTGAGAAAAGATTTTCCATCTGAGTCCTGGCCTTCTAGGCAAAACACAATGAGGCGAAAGCTGCAATTTTATTCGCTTTTGCGCATCCTCACAACAAAAGGGTTGAAGGGTCGCCCAAAAGGACGACTTCCTTGCCTAAAAACCGGACCGGACTCACGGCCGCGAGGCCGAATGAAAGTAATCACACACCGAGAAACCGGTTTGGACACTGGCATTAAATTTTCGAAAAGGCCGCGAAGAAAATTTCAGCCAAAAATAAAAAAAGGACGAACCCCTTCGAGGAACATGGCATATGGCGGTCCATCACGGGATCTGGTCAATATGAAAATACAAAAGCGACGGCAGCATCGCGTCCTGGCAGTTGCCAACGTATCCTAGTTCTGGGGTGGCAGTTGGGCATGAGTTGTTGCTTTTGTTGCCTCCGCAGGACAGCAGGACAATGGCGGCTCAAAGGGTTCGCTTGCGGTCATGCATTCAAATTATCTTCCCAGTTTGTCTACTATTGGGTATCCTACTTCGAATAAGTATGACAACATGTTCAACATCGGCCTGCTTGGCATATGAGAACTGCTTGTCCCAGAGGTCAGCCATTTTGTTGAACCTAAACCCAAGCATGTACTCAAATTAACGGACATTTCTCAAGAAATTCGCGGGAAAGCCTTTTGGAGCACAAACTAGAAGCGGAGGGTGATAGATAGGATCTTTTTTGTGATAGAAAATAACAACTCGTTATCAGATGTTGCAGCCTCTAGGATGTCGCGTGCTTCTCCTAAAGCAAAACTGACCTCTGCACTGACCATTAGCAACCCTTTCACGCTCCCGCCAAGCCATCGGCCTAGAGCTCGATCATCTCTTAACTGGTTTCAATGCCTTGACCAGCATTAAATGATTTAATGACTCGGACGCGTGTCTCTTGCCGGGTTGGTCAGTCAGATGGTCATCGTTGGCCCTTAACTTCCCCTAATAAGTGCACAGGATGTTAGGACAACACTTCGCACATTTGCATTGTCATTTCCAATGACTTCATTTCCTTAAAGTGTCCCATCTTTTATCAGCGAGAGCATCCCTAAGAAGACTTTTGTGCTCACAGTTGTGTTTACAAAAGATCCCATTAGGCATCCCCGTGGACGTTGATAGCCTCAAAGATTTATGCAAAGCGGCACCCAATCTATTCGTCAAGGGTCAAAAAAGTTGACCAAACAAAGTTCTTAAAGAATTCCTTCGCAAAATAACTGCATTATGCATAAATGCCAAGAGTTTATTGAAATATCATCCAGACTTAGGGCTAGAACTGAGAATACTCTTATCCGTTTTCGGGGGTAAAAGTTGAGATTTCGTTGAGGCAATAAATCTGTGGCCAAACGCATCACAAAACAAAGGATCACAAAAAGGAAGAAAATAGGCAAAATATCGATGCATTAAGGATATCTTATCCTTGGGTTCCTAAGGGTGTTCCGGCCCACTGAAGCGGAGGGATCCGCTTGAATATTCAAACGCGTTTTGTTTACGTTTTAGCATAAATTGTGAAGAAAGGACAAAAGATGCCACAGGAAATTGTCGCAATTAGGAAGATGTATTCCAAGTGTTCCCAATGATTTTCTCACGTTGATTGCATCGCAGATATAAACACTCTCTATACTCCTGAAATACTCAACTAAGATCAGCCTTACCATCAATTAAATTCCCATAAAACCATAACTCGGATCGCTTTGTGTGGGCTTTTATATTAATATTTGAAACGTGCCCTTCACTCTCCACTCTCTCAGTTGGCTTCAGCTAATTGAAACATGTCATCCAATTTGCCAGCCAGAGGACTCCCCAATGTAATGCTAATTCCTTCTCTATCCTGATGGCAAGAGTTACACATTTGTAGAGCCAGAAATAATAATTGTCGCTTCATGAGCAAAGCGATTGTTATCCTGCGGAATTAAACATAACACAGCCATTGACTTCCCATAGCTCTAGGACAGAGCAAGAACAGGGACGAGTAGAAATCAATGTTCGCATTGGCAACAAAAGCCAAAACACAAAATGAAAACATTTGTAACTGAATATGAATTTCTCGTATGCAAATTTGCATTCTACTAAAATAAAATCAGAGAGACAGAAACAAAATTTAAACGGGGCTGGGTTAGATTCTACTCGTAGTTATAGTCGACAAAGCGACTCGGGATCGGGATTCTATTCTATGTTTGGGCTTTTGTGCGCATTTTCATGCAGATTTCCGTCAGTTATTCAGTTGCTCAGTTGCCATTTTCCGTGGAACCTTTTTTGTAATCAATAGCTGGGTAGATGCATGCAGATCATAGCTTTGCCTGGCCGCTCGGCCTTTCTCTCTCCATGTCACTCAATTATGGCAACAATTGGTAAATCCACTTCAATCTCAATTCGCCAACCAAGTGACAAACCAGCAGAGCAATTCCTTTCCCTGTCCCACTCCCATCTACTGCTCGACATACGAAATCAATCGATAGCTGCAGCTCGACTTCCGCCCCTCGCCAATCAATTTGTTCGGCAAGGGATTTCCATTTGCATTGCTTTTCCATTCATTTCCTCAGCTGATTTGCATATATTTCCATTCCACATGGCGCGCGTGCGCTGTTCGATGAGGTAAACTAGGTAACCCTCCTCCTCCTCCGTCACAGGTCGATTTGCATAACACTGGCTGGTGGCTGGTATTAATCCTGTTCCTGATGATGGTTGCTGCTTCCTGTCGCCCGCTCTCGCCTGAGGCTGGGTCGCTGCGCCTGTGCCAAAATTATGCAAATCCTTTTGCGTGCCAATATTTTACAACAATAATTTATGCAAATTACACTAGAAAGAATTTTGTGCGCTTGCGCAGCGGATGTTACATGTCGCGTCCTTTGGAGGCGACCGTTTTTTTCTAAGGGTTTGCTCTTGTTTAGCATTTTCGCAACGTTTTTTATATGCAAATTTTTTTGCCGAGGCCTATAAATATTTTTGGCATTTTTAATTGAGTTTTTTTGCGCGATTGTAATGCAGATTTTTTTTGTTCGTTTGTAATTTTAATTTTGTGCGCCAAAAATGTTTTTATTTTTTGCATTTGAATGGATTCCATTCGATTATTACCGGAATCGCAGCTGTGCCAATGGCTGCGCGCTATTTTTTCGAATAGTTTCTAAAATTTAGATCGAGTTGTGCAAATAATTTGCATAAGGATTTGTTCAATGGGCCAAGATGTGGGTTCTACATTTGGTGCGACTTTTATTCTGATTGTATATCCGCTTAAATTATTTTGGATGCTGTGAGAAAAAAAAACTTCAATGAGAAATGTAATTTGCGATGGTTTTCTGGAAGAATCTGATTTGTGTATGTGCTACAATTTATACTACTATACTATACTAAACTATACAGCACTGCATTTTACTATACAATATTACAATATACTTTACAATACTATACTCTACTATACTATACTAGGGAATGATAACTCTACTATACACACTTTAGACTATACTATGTTATACTATACTATACTGTACTATACTATTCTGCACTATTCTTTACTATACTTGATCAAACTATCCTATCAACTAAAACTTATAGCTTATTGAAGAAAATATAGTAGTAATAATAGTAACTAGTATACACAAGGGGGTTATTTTTAGCATAATATTTTATTAAACTATCCGAAATAATTTAAATCGTTTTAATTCAAGAACAAATATTTAGTTTTTACTTTCTGTTATATTTATAATAAATATTATTTGTGGAAATCTTTAATTAGTATATTGGCGTTTATTAAAAAATATTTACGCTACTTAAATATATTAAGAAAAATGTTAAAAAATATGAATATGTTTAATTTCATATATAGAGTAAAAAAAGTATTAATTAAGTAGGAAATATTAAGAGAAATTAATATATTTTTTTAAATTAAAGCAAAAGTGAATTTAATTTGTTACCCATATACAAATTCACAAGTATTTTCTCAAAATTTATAGAGATTTAGTATATGTTTTTGTTAATTTTGTTTTGCGTTTGATAGTTGGAACTTTAAACTTACCTTTCTTTCTAATTCATATATTTTAAACACAAAAACTCTCATCACATTCCTTTACATTTCTCCAATATTTCTCTCTCTTCGCTAACAATGCACAGGGGAAATTCCTGAGCAGCCGTTGGTGGTTACAATGACATTTTTACCTAAAAAACTCGCTTTTCTGCAGAAATTTACATGAACGCTGGCATTTTATTGGTCGGCAGCAAAAAACTAGCAAAAAACGGCGACAATCTCTTACCATGTTATGCAAGGGAAACGCTTCGTTTTTCACACAATTTCCACAAGCGGGGCGCTAAATAAACTAAGGGTTGTGCGTCCTCAGCCAACACCACCACCACGAAGCGGACAACGCTTTAAGGTTTTCCATTTTTTAAGAGAGTCGAGAGTGCGGGACTGCGAGAGCGAGCGGCAGATCAGTTTTTTAAGAGCACATCTCGTATATTGTTTTTTAGAGAGAGGGTTTGCTGCGGGGACTTTTGCGCAATTTTTGCTATATTAGCTGACTGTGGCGGAAGAGTTGAAACAGTTTGAGCTGCGCAGCCGAACTTCGAGGATCGCCAGAGACGTGCCATAAGAATCTGAAGATCGTGATCAGAGTCGAGCGTGTGCTGTGAAATCTGTGAAAATCTTGTGAACCAAGAATTTTTTATCAAAGAAAAATCAATTGATTTTGCGTGCTGTGTTATCCTTATAAAAAAAAATATAACGTGATCACAAAATGTCCAATCAAATGGAATTTATGATGCAGCTTTATATGATGAACCTGCTGCAGCAACAACAACAACTGCAGCAGCAGCAGCAGCAGCAGCAACCGCAACAACAACAACAGCTGTCCAGCTTTGCCTACACACAGAAAGAGGATATCAGCAGCAGCACATGCCTGCAACAGCAGCAGCAACAACTGCAGCAGCAGCAGCAACACAAGACAAGAACGCACAAACGAACAAATTCGCAAAACACGAACTGTAGTAGTAGCCGTAGTTGTAGTCCCAATAGTAATTTGAATGCTTTATCACAACAACAATATGAGCAAAATGCTACAACACTAACAACACAGGCAACACCAACAACACCTAACAACAACACAAACACTAACACAAACTTTGACTATCAGTTGCCACAAATGTTGCTGAGCACTTTGTCACCACTGACACAGTACATGTTGCAACAACAACAGCAACAACAGCTGCAGCAGCAGCAACAACAACAGCCGCAGCAGCAGCAGCAGCAACATTTGCTGACAACTTCAACAACAAACCTGTTACTAACCCCCAACACGCCCAGCTCCATGCAGCAAATGCTGTTGGAGAATTTCCCTAGCTCCCTGAAAAGCGAGCAATTTTCCGTAAATAACTTTTTGCAATCCTCCACAGTGACATCAACGCCAAACGAGCAAGCAGCAGCAGCAGCAGCAACAGCAGCAACATCTGCAGCTGGCAACCTTTCGGCAGTCACAGTCAAACATGAGCAGGATTTCGATGATGAGGACGACAAGCCGCTGTCCAGCTTGAATAGCTGCAGCTCCTCGGGCCTGGCCAGCACCAATGATGCTAGCACCAGCGCCAGCACCGAGAAGCTGCTCCTGTTGTCCGGCATACAGCCGCTGGAGAGTACGAGCACCACCGACAGCAACGACTCGCCCAGCATGGTAAGTTCTATAATTAAGATTATTCCATCAAAAATTTTTATTCTGGTATTTTCCATTTAAATTTAACTTACAAGATACTTTATCGAAAAGATTTTTAATTTTCTTTTGACTAATAACTAATTTACAAACATGATTGAATACGGCATAAAGAAACGGTTAAGAGTAGCATGAACATAAATTAAAGACATATAAAATTTAATTAAGAATTTATATAAATATGGAGACCAAGTTTATTCTTCTAACTTCTATTCTTCATATTTATTACTATTAATCTTTTTTTTATATATATTTTAATATCTTCATATTTAATAGATTTCAATCGAGTCTAATACAGCCTTACATTGCACTTATTTGCATTTGACTGAATTTCATTAATATTCAAAAATCAAAATCTTAAAAAAAGTGATACGAATGTTGTACAAGATTTTTCAAGTTTATTTATCAATTTCGTTTGAGGATATTTTACAACAATTTAAAATATAACATTTTTCATATTTTTTTAAATTTCCACTACTACTATTATTAGTACTATCATCCACTTTTATTCATTCTCTATTATATATTTATTGCCTTTAATATGATGCATAATATTACTTCTAATAGTGACTACAACTAATGTAACATATACGCCTCCTACTACAACTAATATGATTTCTATATTCGCTACAATATAATTATTACATTTATTACTATTACTAATATAAATACTGCTTATAAATATTACTACTGTTATTTTGTATATACTATTACTACTATTACCATTACTCCTGCTACTTCTACTACTACTATTAGAACTTCTACTACTTATTCTACTCCAGCTACTAAAACTTCTACTACTATTACTACATATACTACAGCTACTAAAACATCTACTACTGTTACTACTGCTTCTACACTGCAACTTATACTACTCATTCTACCAATTCTATTGATAATTCTCATACTAATTGTACTGGCCCTATAACTTAATACCACAATGTTACAATTTCCAGTACTTTCAGTTATACAACTAGTTATACAATTTCTACTATATTACTACAGCTACTTCAACTACTACTGCTAATAAATCTACTACTACTGATACTACTATTACCGCTTCTACTACTTCTATTAATACTGCTTCTCATACTACTTCTACTACTTTTTATTTCAACATATTTTCGAGTATTTGTTTTTAAGTTTAATATTTTTTATTTTATTAAAATCGATTAATATGATTCCTAATATATTTCTTGCTACCAAACTCACTAAAACAAATCTGCTAAAAAGAATATTCTTCAAAAATCTTCGTATTGCCTAGAGTATCAGCTTATATATACCGTTCAAATACACTCAATTTCTGCTAGAAAACTTTTAAATTTAAGAGCAAGCCAAGTTTTTCTGTCATGCCTTATGGTTTCTTCAAGCCTTTTAATGTGTTTTTTGATGTTTGTCATAAACTCCCACGCTGTCTGTAATTCGAGAATGGCTCGACACAAGTGTGGGGAAGTTGAACATATTCGTGCACTTTGCGCGAAAAAATAACCGAAGCAAAACTTTGTCGCAATTTGCTTGCTCAATGTAAACATCAACTCGATTCCAAGGAAAACAAACAGCTGCTGTGTCGAAAACGCGTGGGTTCCCCAACCCTGCAGCTGGCTACTGGCCACTGGTCACTGGCACCAAGCAGTCTGATTTTGTTGGAATATTATTATTATTTAATTTAACAAGCCGTTCGTTCTGTGCTCTGTGCATTGCAGTACACGCCCGTCAAGCAGCCAGCGGACTCCTCCTACAATGTCGTCACCAGCATCGATAGTAATGAGGCCAAATTGAGCACGCCTCTGGCACAAAGCAACTCACTGCTGACGCCGCCGCCATCCAGTGATCAGGGCAAGGGCATTGTCAGTCTGAGCACGGCCAGCAGCTTGGATGCCTTTCTGCAGAACGAGGAGAATCTGAAGAATCTGCGCAAGGTGTCCTCGTATCTGGAGTGCGAAAATACGCTCTGTCGGCAGGAGACGCTGCGCGAGCATTTCCACTGCTACGATGAGCCCTGCCAGGGTAAGATATTGAGCAAAAAGGATGACATCATACGCCACCTAAAGTGGCACAAGAAGCGCAAGGAGAGCTTCAAACTGGGCTTTGCACGGTTCTCTTCCGCGGATGACTGTGCGCCCGCCTATGGCGATGGCTGTGCCTACAATTGGAAGCAGACCCACTATCACTGCGTTTACGAGCACTGTCCCAAGGTCTATGTGAGCACCAGCGATGTGCAGATGCATGCCAACTTCCATCGCAAGGACTCGGAGATTGTGAACGAGGGATTCCGGCGTTTTCGTGCCCACGAGAATTGTCGCATTGAAGATTGCCCCTTCTACGGCAAGAAGATATCGCACTATCATTGTTGCCGCGAGGGCTGCAATCACACCTTCAAAAACAAGGCCGATATGGGTGAGTGATCCTTTAGATCGTACATTCCACTTCAAGTCTACAGCATCTAGTTGCCACACTCTGTAGACAAGCACAAGACGTACCATTTGAAGGACTATCAGCTGACGCAAGATGGCTTCAAGAAGATACTCAAAACGGAGCAGTGTCCTTTCGAGTCCTGCAAGTTCTCCACGGTGTGCAACCACATACACTGCGTGCGCGAGAACTGCAACTATATCCTGCACTCAAGCAGCCAAATGATAAGCCACAAGCGCAAGCACGATCGCCAGGATGGCGAACAGGCCTATCAGCAGTTCAAGAGCAAACAGGAGGACACGGACGACACCACCTCACTGGATGCAACACCGCTGCCGACCAGTGCCGCCAATAGCAACAGCTCCAACTCCACCACACCGCTCTCCTCGCTCTCCGCGGAACACTTTCTGGCACGCAAACGTGGTCGGCCGCCCAAGAAGATTGTAAGTGCCTGCAGTTTCAAATTCCCGCCAACCTCATTATCTTTTTGATTTGTTCTCATACAGCAACTTCCCGCCGATGCACAGCAATCGGAGACGAAGCGTCTGAAACTGGAGGACACCGAAAGCAATCCGGCGACAACAGCACCGACACAGTTCCAGCCTACGCCCAACAGCAATACATTGAGCAGCGCTCTGTTCCCCAATCTGCTGCCCAACTTTACGGCCGCTGCCGCCGCCGCAGCTGCCGCAGACGCTGCAACGGCGCCGAATTTCCAGCTGACGCATTTGATGGCGCTCTTCCAGCTGCAGAATCCGCTCTTCTATCAGAATCTGTATCCGGGCGCCGCGGCAGCCAATATGCTGGCCGTGCCACAGAATGCGTCCATGTTTGGCAATCTGGCCGCCTTCAGCGCAGCGGCCGCTGCGGCAGCGGCGGGCGTCCAGCAGCAGCCGAAGAGCGAGTTTAGCATTAAGCCCGAGTTCAAGGAGTAGCTGGGAACGTCCTAGCGCTCTACAGATGTCTATAGGTGTATATATATATATGTATATGTATATAGAGGTAGTCGTAGTTATATAGAAGACTGACTGATACGGACGTTTTGTTAGACAGCGGCCAGGCATCAGGCTCTAAGCAGGATTTCGTCAAAGGGGATCCGGTAAAATGTTGGATGGCCGGGACGTCTCTTTGCCTTTTTTTTAGCCCATTCCTTCTGCAAAAGCCAACTCAGCCACATTTTGTTGGCTCGAAAGCCTTTACAAAATGTTGCTGAATTCGCTTTTATAAATATTTGTTTCTTTTTTTTTTAAACCTTTTCTTATCCAAAAATTTCAGCATTTCGAACTAAAAAAAAATAAAACTTGAATTTAGTTTAACTAAAACTGTGATGTTTTCCTAAGATTAACTAAATCGCTTGTCTTTAAAATGAATGTATAAAAAATATTTTTAATTTTAGTTGTCTATGCGGGACCTAGGAGATTTTCTTTAAAAGGGGTGAAATCAATAAAAATACAAATTTCTTTGTGATATGTTAATGAAAATTCTTGTTTTAATGTCGTATTATCCTATGAATTATATTTTAAGAATTATATGTTTATATATGATTAATATTTAAAAATCGAAAAGTTAAAAATTATTTTTTTATATATTTATGTATTTGGTTGGGGCATGTTTTCCTTACGTGAGTAAATAACATTTTTCCGCTCTACCTTGAACTTCCATTTCGACCCAGCTGAGTTGATTTTCCTGCGTTGTTAATCACATTTTATCTGTCATTGTACATAGATGTTTGAAAACATATTAAAAGTCAATCGAATGACAAAGAAAAAAGGTATTTTTTTGCAAGATCAGACTTAATTTAACGCAGTCAATTAAATTTGTTTTAAAAAATATTATAATTTTAATGTTATGGGTATATTAAGGTCATGTTTTGGACGTTCAATTGGCATTGGCAATAAAATAAGGTACCAGGCGAACGGAAATGGCAAGTGCGTCGATTTAGTTGTCGAAAAACCCTACTGCATACTTTTATCGGCAACAATTTTGGGCCACTGATCATCTAAATTTAAATGAAAATCTCAGTTTATGTACTAGGTAAACAGAATTGGAAAATATTTTTTTTTTTTTTTTTGTTTTAAAGATAATAATGAAATTTATTTAACAAGATAAGTGTGCTGCTACCTTGCAAGGCAACTTAAACTAATCAGAAAATTAAACTAAAAATAACAAAATAATTTATGATAGAACATAACAATGAATTAAAGATAACTTATAAGGGGGAGGCTTAAGGGGTGATACTGATCGATGATCGTCTAAATTTTAGTATGAGATATTTATGTCAAGACCCGGTTCAGGAGGTCTTGAGGGTGATGAGAATTGGAAAATAGGTCAAAAAATGATACGATCGACAAATTTCATAATTTCCGGGGCAAGCATTTCATATTCCCTCACCCAAATCACGTGGGTGTCACAGCTTTTGTAAATTTAAAAGCTTTGGTTGCCAATAGATTTTAGAAGCGCTCATGCAAAATTTCATAATTTTAATTAGCTTAGTTATTGAAAATATAAAATAAAACTATATTATTTGAAAATACATGTTTTGACTTTTCCAAAAACTTCTGGTTATCCCCTATACAACTTATACCATAGAAGAAAACAACATTTTGAATGCCGATTAAATAATTGTTGTTGAATTTATTACTGTTTTTTATATGATTCATTTTACTCATTGACTAAACACAAGTCAGCTACACAAGAACTCTGGACGCTCTATGAAAAACAGTCCAGCTAAGCAATTTACTTAACAATGAAGCATTTCCATCAATTTTCGTATATACTTATTTAATTTTTCTTATATTCGCATATAAGTATGTATATTTAAACAATCAATATAGTTAATCCAAGTCCAAGAAGAGATTTCGAAATTTATATAGCTACTATAATGTACACATACATGCAAATGTTATCGGAATTTTTTTAATATATCGCTGGATTTTTGGATTTTTGTGTTTCTTGTTTACAATAAGAACCAATAGAAATAATGTACAAATGATTATTTGATAATAAATTAGGCAAAACTGTTTAAACTAATTAACTAAAACTAAAGAAACATTAAATTCAACAAGTAAAACTAATTAAATTCGTTACAAATTAAATATGCTGAACAATAGATAAACAAAACAGAGACTGCGAGACTCTGCTAAGCAAATTCTTTTTATCAGGCCATATATATAGGGATATATATATATATATATATATGGGGTCTAAGCGTCGATTTGATAAAGGTGGTTTTCGAACAATTTATGTTAGCCAAAATTTATAAAATTGTTGTTGCAAAAGCATTTATCCAATTCCATGTATAAGTACTAGTATATATATATATATAGGGTCTGTATACATATATGTATATAACGTTTAGGTAATTTCGGAAGTGATTTCCATTACATATTTATGTATGGCATCAATTTGTGCGCAACATGTAACATAATGAAATTTATAGCTTTTGTATTTTGCTGATGTTTTTCTTTTTTTTTGCATCTAAGCCGCAACTGAGGTGTACTGGTAAGCGTTAGGGCGTCTAGGGCTGCTCAGGAATCGTCTCTCGGTAGAGGCTACGCAGCAGCTTGCTGATGAATCAGAACCGTTAGCTGCGACCGTTGGGCGCCGCCGGTGATGCCAGTTCCATCGTTGGAACCGCGCTGCTTGGCGCCGGCAGTTCCACCGTTGGATCCGCGCTGCTCAGCGGCACGCCGGACAAGGTGATGGCACGCATATGATGAACGGGCCGTATGGACTTGAGCTGTGTGGTGCCCTTGAAGCGGACATTAACATCGCCCCCCACCATGCTGAGTGGATGCATGCCCGGCTCTGGATCCGTTACTTGTTCGTGTTCATGTGGTGCTGTGGTTATGGCAATAGCGCCACTATAATAGGGACGCATGGTCATCGGCGAGAGGGCTGTGGGCGTGCTTTTGTAGCCAATGCGACTGAAGAGGCTGCCAGTGTTGCTGCCAGTGTTACTGTTGCTGCCGGTGCTGTTGCTGCTAGCGTTGCTTGCAGTGCTGGGCGGGCTGAGCGGCGTGCCAACGCCAGAGTCAACCTCCAATGGGCTCTTGATGTTGGCCACAAACTTATCGACATGCTCCGGCAGCTTCAGTTCGTCAAGCTTCGTTTGCATGACGCTGCGGGCGCTGGCATTGTCTAGCAGACGATTGGGACGCGTTGGTGGTGCAGGTGGAACAACAGTCGGCTCCGGATGGCCATTGGTGTGGTTGCGCTGCTGCTGCAGTTGCTGCTGTTGCTGGCGCAGTTGCTCAAAAAAAGGTGTCTTCTCCTTCTTCTGCTTTTGTGGCGAACCAGGTTCGTCTCTTTCGCTCAGTTCTTCGAGCACCTTGAGTGGAAACCCCAAGTGACTGTTGACCGAAATGGATTTGCCAATTTTGCGTTCGGCAAAGATTGGCTTGCGTCGCTGCCGCTCCAGATCATCCAGCTGCTGCAGCATGCGTCGCACCTCGCTGGGCAGCTCCAAATCAGGATTGTGCTCCACCAGTTGGCCAATGTAACGGCCCAACGTTTGTATTGTCAGCTCCAGGGACTGCACCTGCGACTGCAGCGTAGAGATTTGCGTTTGCTGCGATGAGCGTGTGGTCTCCAGCTGTGCAATTGACGATTGAGCGAACTGGCAGAATGGAAGTCGATAATTAAATAGCCAAAAGGAAAATAAACTTGTAGCTACTCACCTGCAGCTGTTGCTCCAAATGCTGACTCGTTGCCTTTTCTCGGTTTAGCATTTCGAGATGATGATTTGTCGTGGTTATCTCCTCCTGCAGCACATTGTATTCCACATTGTACTCGGCCAGTTGCTTGCTTATTTCCAGCCCAAATACCAGCTTCATGGTTTGCTCCATGCAGTGCGAGTCCATTTTGGGCACCACCGACTTCAGATAGTCCATGATCTCCTCGAAGTTATCGCGTGCGAGCAGCTGCTGCTTGTGCACCGAAAGCAGGGCAATGGCAAACTTAAAGATAACATCAGAGGACTCCAGGAAAACCAGATCGAAAACACGCGCCACAAATCCCAACGGAAACTGTGAGCTGAATACGGTAAGAATCCAGGGCGCCGCGTATAAAGTGGGCGAGACATCGTTTTGATCCAGCCACACGTACAAATCGGGCAGATGATCCTTGACCAGACGTGACAGCTGATACAGCTGCAGCTGGAACTTCTTCATGTCCGGCAGGTATTTGGTGCGCATGTTGCGGCAGAACATCAGATGCTTCAGCAGCTGAAAGGCGCTGGCTTCGTCGCACTGCAAGGAAGAGGCATTAATACATAGTAGAAGACTCTAACAAGGATCAACCTACATGCAACAGCAGCACGCCGCAAATGAAGCCCAGTCCCTGGCAGTAGCCCAGCTCTGGATCGAGTATGGAGTAGGCTTTCAGCAAATTGAAGAGCGACAGCTGACCCAGCCCCAGCGGATCCTTGTAGAACTGGTGGTTGGGAAAAGTGCGACCCAGATCAATAAATATCGCATGCTGATGCTCGGTCAGATGCTTGAGCAGCGTTTGATACGGCGTATTGTAGTTGGGAAAACGTTTCGTGTCCACCGGAGCCATGTTCATCGAGTGCTGTTCGGCCAGAAAAGTCCAGACATCGCCGCGCTTTGATCGGGGCACTCCAGTGCGTATGGCATGGCGCAGCACCTTGGGATCCTTTTTGTTGCCTATCTGCATGGAGTTGCGCTCAATGATTTGCTCCCAGCGCTCGATCAGCTGCTTGTCGCATGGCACGATCTCCTCGTAGTCCAGCTTAATGCGCTTCAGCTCGTTCTCGTTCTGACGCGCCTGCAGCATGGCATTCTCCGTTTCCATGCGGTTCAGCATAATGGTCTGTCGTATGGCCGTGCGCCACAGTTCCCGCAGCTCGGCTGCATCCCTCTTGCCGCGTTTGACAGCTATAAGATATTGGTTTGATTGGATCCCAAGAGGAGATTAGAGCAAGAGGACTTACGTTTGCGCATGGGCGACAGATACTCGGTGGGCGCCTCGCTGTCTAGACCCTTGGAGGGCGTCACCACGCTGTTGAGTATGGCCTGGCGCCAGGAGCCCTGATGTGTTTCCGCCTCTTTCGGACTGTTGCCTACTTTGATGAAGCTGCAAATGACAGAATTATTAAATGATTGTTGTCAATTAATAGATTAAGTATTATTATTAATATTATTATAATTTTAAGTATATGCTAAGCATAATCTGTATCTATGCAGCCCAAACGGAAGGGCTAGAAAGCTGACATTCTTTACAGAAGCTTCCTTTTGGGTCGAAAGTGAGTGCCTAGCACTCGCGGCTTCGAAAAATTCGACCTCAGAGACGACCTCCGGCCTGCCTGCGAG